AAAAGGAATGTTCTGGAGAAACGTGAAGGGAAGGGAGGAGGTTCCAGTAGGTTCCATTTCTTCTTTGAGAGTCTAGAACATTCTGGAAACGTTTACCAGGGGCAGGGCCTCTTTAGCCATTTATGAGATATTTTGTTGAGAAAGAGCCAAAAAGCTAAAATAGATAACAGTACTAAATTAAAAGATAATCCCAAGAATGCAAAAGAGAAAAATGTGAAGAAGATAATCGGGAAGAGGATCATCTCCTGAGCTTAGGATGGGGATTCTCTTAACTAGCCTATTTAAGCAGTTCAAATCTAATACAACAGCTTTAAACAGGGAGATTCTCTAAAAATTATAATTGCAACCGTTGGATTCAATTTGAACAGTCCAGATGGGCTAGTCAGGTGGATCTCCATCCTGAGCTCAGAAGAGGATCATCTTCTAGATAATTGTGCACCTAATTTTGTTATGTGAAGAAACAAACGAAAATTAATTCGATAAATCGATGGCTAGAGGTATTCTTCCTTTTTGGTTTAATAATCTATGGTACTTTTTAAATTCAAACTACATAAATAAATGTTTTTTTTTTTGGTTGAACATAGATAATGAGTTAAATGACGAGTTTGGTAAACACTCCATAAATAATATAACAATGGTCAATCTACTAGGGTGAACACTCCATAAATAATGTAACAATGGTCAATCTAATGGTGTTTTTGGTGACAAATCGAGAATATAATAAATATGAGCCACCAAAAGACAAGTAAATTCCTAGTAGCACCACTCTTTAAATTATTATAATAATTTCGAATCTTCTCATTTTTAATTAATAATAATATTAAAAAAAAGTAAACTCTAAAATAAGGTTATCGATTGGCACACAAATAAGTTATTAAAAACGAAAACTAACCAAAAGGGCCTGAAAACTTTAAGTTTTAACCAAAAACCATGTTGTAAGTTTATTTAATGGTTAGGATAAAGCCCAACACTAAATCAATCCAAATAAAATGGCCCAAACAATGAGTGTCCGATTTTGCCCCTGACGGCAAAGCATTTCTCCGTTTAATCTCTCTTCCTTTATGGGTCTCTCTGCTCTGCTGTGGTCTGTCTCCCCCCCATTTCTTCCTGACACATCTAAAGAGAGAAAGAGAAGTGAAGGAAGTGAAAGAACAACACATTTGAATCCTTTTATTTCCAAGTTCAATTCCAATTCCTCCATTTTTCAATCGAATCGATCGAATCTCTCTCCCTCTCTCTCTCGATCTCTCCACCCAATATGTATTTTTGTTTTCAATTCAATTTGAGTTCCACAATTTTTCAAATCAATCGAATCGATCGAATCGGATAAGCACGGGCGACCTTCTCAGCATCGATTCTCTGGAGCTCGAGTTCCCCTGTCAGTATAACACGTTACCTTTCTCTTTCGATCTGGTTTTTGTTTTCAAAAATTTGCATGTTGCTGTTTCATTCCTGTTTTCAATTTACGATTTTGAATCTTTGCAGTTGAATTTCTTTTGCATACATCATTAGTTCTCGAACGCTTGAGATTTCTATGAATCCAATGATCTATTTTGTTTTAAATATTGTTTACATGATCCTACTGCTGTTTTATTTTTCTATTTTGTTTTAAATATTGTTTATAATTGGTAATGAGGATGAGGATTTGGTTTTCGTGGATTTCATGAGAAGTTAAATTTTAGTTTCGAAAATTTCGAAATTGATTAAAAAGAAATTAACTTGGCAGCGGACTGAATATTCTGCTGTAATGATTTTTTGTCTCTATTTTTCCATAAATTGTAGATTTCATTACATTTTGTCAATCTTGATATTGTTGACGGTAATTGTGGTAAAAATACTGATTTTATCGATGTATTTGTTGCTAATCGCATTGGGATTTTTCGGTTGCAGCCGCGGTGGCATGGGAAGCGGGGAAGCCACTGTCAATTGAGGAAGTGGAGGTGGCCCCACCGCAGAAACATGAAGTTCGCTTGAAGGTCCTCTTCACCTCTCTTTGCCACACCGATGTCTACTTCTGGGAAGCCAAAGTAAAAACTTCAACTTTGAATGCCATTTTCTACTTTAATATCTGCGTATCGATAACTACATCATTAAGCATGATTCTTCATATGTTTATAGTACTTAGTCCATAACTTGCAATTGATTAGTGAAGTTAAGCATGATTTTGAGTGCTAAGTCTAATGTGATGATAAATCCTATACAAGGCATTTTCGTGCTTAGAATGTCAGCTGTTGGAATTGAAACATATATGTTGTGTGCCAGGGACAACAACCGCTGTTTCCTCGCATTTTTTGTCATGAAGCTGGAGGGTATGTACACATCTCTGAATATTAAAGCTACATAATTTGTAATTAACTTAGTATTTGCTTCCATTTTACGCGGTTTGTTTACTTTTCTAAATTTTGTTTGCTTAACATTTTGTGTTTAGAGTTGTGGAAAGCGTAGGCGAGGGCGTAACTGAACTCCAGCCGGGTGACCACGTCCTCCCTGTGTTCACTAGAGAGTGCAAGGAGTGCGCGCAATGTAAGTCGAAGGAAAGCAACATGTGTGATCTGCTGAGGATCAATACTGATAGGGGTACCATGATCAATGATGGCCAGTCCAGGTTCTCCAAGGATGGAAAACCAATTTATCACTGTTTAGGTACTTCTACCTTCAGTGAATACACTGTTTGTCATGTTCGTTCCGTTGCTAAGATCAACCCGGCTGCTCCCCTTGACAAAGTTTGTGTTCGTAGTTGCGGAATATGCACAGGTTCGAAAGACTTCTCCCATTTTGACAGTGAAAAGTTGGAATAAGAAATTAGGGATTTTCCAACTTTTCTTTCTGGAGTAATCAATTATTGTTTCTGTTGGTGTATTTGAAGGTTTTGGCGCCACTGTGAATGTTGCAAAACCGAAAAAGGGTTCATCTATTGCCATCTTTGGATTGGGAGCTGTTAGTCTTGCTGTAAGTCATTCTTATTGCTCCTCTGTTATGGCTCTTTTGGATAGTTTGGAGTAGTGTAAGGATTTTCTTGTTCATCTTGTTCCATTTTAGGCTGCTGAAGGTGCAAGGGTTTCGGGCTGTTCAAGGATATAGGAGGGAGGATGGATGGGAGGGTGATTGTTCTTGTTTGCAGGGAGTCTCAGTGAATTGCGTCACAATTTATACATTAGGTTTATCAAACTGAACTATTTATCAAACTAAACCACATTTTTTTACCAAAGCAAAGTGAACTATTTATCAAAATGAACTATTTATCAAATTGAACTAGAAAACCACACTTTTTTACCAAAGCAAGCTGAACTATTTATCAAACTGAACTAGAAAATCACACTTTTTTACCAAAGCAAACTGAACTATTTATCACACTAAACCACATTTTTTTACCAAAGCAAACTGAACTATTTATCAAAGTGAACTATTTATCAAACCAAACCACATTTTTTTACCAAAGCAAACTGAACTATTTATCAAACTGAACTAGAAAACCACATTTTTTTACCAAAGCAAATTGAACTATTTATTAAATTAAACCACACTTTTTTACCAAAACAAATTGAACTATTTATCAAAGTGAACTATTTATCAAACCAAACCACATTTTTTTACCAAAGCAAACTGAATTATTTATCAAACTAAACCACACTTTTTTACCAAAGCAAACTGAACTATTTATCAAACTGAACTAGAAAAACATATTTTTTTACCATAGCAAACTAAACTATTTATTAAACTAAACCACATTTTTTTACCAAAGCAAACTGAACTATTGATCATCTCCAGGACCATTGTTTTATCAATCAATAGTCAAGACCGTACTGGCAAATCTTTAAACCCACCAACTAAAAATGAAATTGAAATAATTTTCAATGAAAGGGTTCCTACAGAAAACATTTATACAGGTTCTAAGCGGTAAACAAAATTAAGGTGGAGATTGGTAATTTGAACAACCTAATTCAAATAAGTAAAAAAAAAAAAATATATATATATATATATATATATATATATAAATAAAAGAAAGTGGGAATCGATGGGTTTCTCAAGCCTATGAAAAAGACGTCCCTTCCGACTTCCAGGAGCAAGGGGGAGGGCAAGAAGAAAACAAGAAAAATAAAAAGGAGAAACCAACGGCAAATTCAAAAAAAAAAGAGAGAGAGAAACTGGCTAACAAAATGGCATTCAAATTCTAAACGGTTTGGCTAACGGAAGTGGTGTTCCGTCAAGGGCAAGGATTGGAAAAAAAAATTGTTTTGCACGCTGGGCTTACTTCCAGCCCGTGTGCTCTTTAGTTAGTCTTTTATTTCTTATAGTTTGTGTCCTTTTTCATTAAAATTCATGTCCTTTTTATTAAATAAAGTTATTATGTGGTTTTTGGTTAAATTAAAGTTAGTCAAAACCTTTTTCATTAAAGCTCCCTTATTAAAAAGGCTGGTTTATATTTAAATTGGAAGATTACAATATATATCTGAAGTCAAGACGGCACCCAGCTTCCTTTCCTTCTTATTCCTTTTATGAAAGACCAAAATGAAAAACAGAAACAAAGTATACGAATTTACAGCAGACACAGAAAACCAAATAACACGATGCATATATACTTCATCTACATATATATACCGCCACCGCCACTGCCACTCAGTAGTATCCTCACGTACACTGATCATGCACTGCCATCAAAGCAAGCCGACCTCTGCCTGCTCGTCAAGCTCTTCAACTTTGCCCTTCATACCCACCGGCACCACGTTCCCCACCGCCTTGTCCACCTTGCCTGCCAGGTTGCCCACCTTGCCCACCGCCTTGCCAACCACATTCCTCTTGGCCACCTTCTTCCCAGCCTTGACCACCTTTGCCTCCCTGGCCACCGCCTTCCCTACCACGTTCCTCTTGGCCACCTTCTTCGGATTATTTCAGAGATAAAAATTGATGCATACCACTTTTGCCAGTTCCGGAAGTGGAGAGAGCTGTTTACAGCACATGCTTTGTCAACTAGTGGTGGATCTAGGAAATAATATTAGAGGGTCAGTAAGAATAGAATACGTAGCACATAATTTTTTTTTTACCAGAAATAGTATAAAAAAAGTCGTACCCAGTGCACAAGGCTCCCGCTTTACGCAGGGTCTGGAAGAGGTGAATGTCGGTTAACCTTACGCCCATTTTATGGAGAGGCTGCTCCCAAGTCTCGAACCCGAGACCTACCGCTCATGAACCAGAAATAGTATGCATATCATTATTTAATCGAGTCTTGGTAAACCTGAAGTCATTTGGAAAAACATATTGCAAACCTATTAATGCCCCATTTACGTGAGTAACTAACATGTTCCAAAGCTACTTCCATATGAATGCTTAACAAAAAAACAAACTTATCTTGAACGCACTAAAAATGTTTGATATCATTGCATCTCATTAATATGGTTGTCCAAGAATGATAATGTTTTGTTATTTATTGAGATCACCATTTCATTCACTCTTCATTCACATTCTATCAAACAATTGGAAGACATGGATGGAACCAACTCTAATCTTAAAAATAGCAACATCAAGGTATCCATGAATATACACTAAAGCTCGGAAGATCGACACTCAAAGTATCCATAAACGTTCACCGAAGTTCGAAGGGTTAGCTGACCCCCTACCCCTCAATGCATCCGCCACTACTGTCAACCAAGTCGGAAACGAAGATGTCATTAAATCTGTGCCACCACTTGCTGCATCCAATGGTTTCCAACTAGAAACTCCCTTCCCGGAATGGCACCGCCGTGGTGTCCTCAGTGTCAGTGGCATCCTTAAATCTTGACAAAAATGTTGAGATATTGGTATCTCAACATTGCTCTGTTTTCTAGGTCCGGCGACCAATCAGAGGCGCCTAACGGAACCGGCATAGGCTCGAACAGAACCTCAAAGAGGCAGAGAAATTATGCAGTACCTCATCTCAATCTGTTTAAACTTTAAAATGCTGACACACGGAACAAAGTATATATGGTGTAATTCCAAACACACTCATATTACGAACTCTGTTTGATTACGTTCGTAAAATGCTCGGTTATTCGAGTTATTTGTTCCGTTGATTCGCGTTTTTGAAGCCAATTTTATGATAACATAAACAAAAATGGAAATAAAACACATAATATGCTTCATTGATCTGAAAAACCAACAAGCTTATAATACCACAACACAAACATAACAAACACATCCAGAATACACCAACGAAGCCCTAAAATCCACACACAAACCCTTATGTTATAATCCCTGCACGATTATTCTCATAACCCAAATCACAGAAACAGTTTCAAGCAATCTTGACCTCGATTGTCTTCGGCTTCTTCGGCTCCGGCGGCGGCAGCTTCTGCACTGTGACAGTCAAAACCCCATCCTGGCAAACAGCAGAAATCGCATCCACATTAGCATTCTCCGGCAACACAAACTTCCTCATGAACTTGCCGACCCTCCGCTCCATCCTCACGTACTTAGCCCCTTCCTTCTCCTCCTCCCGCTTCCTCTCGCCGCTGATCAGAAGCACATTGTCGTCCTCCACCTGGACCTTGATGTCCCCGGACTTCAGTCCCGGCATGTCCACCACGAACACGTAGGAGGTCGGGTACTCCTTGACGTCTGCCGGCGTGGAGGCCATGGCCTTGGCGTCGCGGAAGTAGGTCCGGGTGGGGGCGTTGAAGGATTTCTCGGCGTCGTCGGCGGCGTCGATGATGTGCTGAAGTGTGGAGAAGAGCGGGGCATCCAAACCCTGGATTCTGACATCCATTCTTCCCTTCTTGGTGGGTGGAATTTTTGCTTTTCGGTTTTGATTTGAAGGCTTTTGTGAGTTTTCGAGTGGGAATCTCGTCGCTGTTACGGAGGGGAGTAGTGGTTGTGGGTATTTATAGGAGGAGTTGAGGGAGGACGGGGGTTAGCGGGGAGGGAAAATGAATGTTCTGGAGAAACGTGGAAGGAAGGGAGGAGGTTCCAGTAGGTCCCATTTCTTCTGTGAGCGTCTAGAACATTCTGGAAGCGTTTACTAGGTAGGGGCAGGGCCCCTATAGCCATTTATGAGATATTTTGTTGGGAAAGAACCAAAAAGCTAAAATAGATAACAGTACTAAATTAAAAGATAATCACCAAAAAGCAAAAGAGAAAAATGTGACGAAGATAATCGTGCACTTAATTTTGTTATGTGAAGAAACAAACGAAAATTAATTCGATAAATCGACGGCTAGAGGTATTCTCCCTGTTTGGTTCAATCATTTAGGGCACTTTTCAAATTACATAGATAATGAGTTAAATGACTAGTTTGATTAACATTTCATAAATAATATAACAATGGTCAATCTACTGGGACGAACACTTCATAAATAATGTAACAATGGTCAATCTAATGATATTCTTGGTGACGAATTGAGAATATATTAAATATGAGCCACCAAAAGACAAGTAAATTCCTAGTAGCACCACTTTTTAAATTATTAAATAATATTATTATTAGAAAAAAAAGTAAACTCTAAAATAAGGTTATCAATTGGTACACAAATAAGAGCTCGTTTTGATGTGCTTTTAAAATAATTGAAAATACTTTTAAAGAAAATATTTGTAGGTTCCAAAAGCACTTAAGTGTTTTCTACAAAAATAACCATTTATGTGCTTCTTTCAAGAAGCACTTTATGTGCTTTTCTAAGATTTACTACTATTTTTACTAAGGATTGTTTCCAAAAATATTTTCACTAAAAGCGCTTTCAGTCATTTTAAAAACATATCCAAACGAATCCCAAGTTATTAAAAATGCTGGTTTTATATCCAAATTGGAAGATTACAATATATATCTGAAGTCAAGACGGCACCCACCTTCCTTTCCTTCTTTTTCTTTTTATATGAAAGACCAAAATGAAAAACAGAAACAAAGCATACAAATTTACAGCAAACACAGAAAACCAAATAGGCCAACAACAACAACAACAACAACAAAGCCTTTTCCCACTAAGTGGGGTCGGCTATATGAATCCTAGAACGCCATTGCGCTCGGTTTTGTGTCATGTCCTCCGTTAGATCCAAGTACTCTAAGTCTTTTCTTAGAGTCTCTTCCAAAGTTTTCCTAGGTCTTCCTCTATCCCTTCGGCCCTGAACATCTGTCCCGTAGTCACATCTTCGAACCGGAGCGTCAGTCGGCCTTCTTTGCACATGTCCAAATCACCGGAGCCGATTTTCTCTCATCTTTCCTACAATTTCGGCTACTCCTACTTTACCTCGGATATCCTCATTCCCAA